GAAAGTTCGATAGTATAATTAATGATAAATAAACGAAAGATACGAGTATCATTAATTTTGGGAATGGAAGGCTGTTCAATGTATGAGTAGCTATGTACCTGGCTAGAGAGGAAGAAACTAAGCTGCGCCGCAAATCAATCGTGGCCTTCATTACCAAGTAGTACTAATCTCGACGCAGGTGATTAAAAGGCATGTACATGATTCATATCGGTGGCTCTTGAGTTGTGTGCGCACTAAAACTCGGGGTTAATGAATTATTACTTTTTAGCGGGTCGGCAACATTTTTTGTGGAGGGCAAGACTGAACACCTGTACGCGGTGTCCTCTAAGGAACCTGGGAGTGAAATATTCTCCCAGAGCCAAGTTCAGTCAAATTTCGTAATATCAGAGAAGTTGGCCCACGAGGCAAAAATTCAAGTTACTCCACCATGTCAATCTTTCACTCCCAAAGAGTCCGGTTCTCAACTAAGCTTCATCAAGCCTACAAGTACGACATAGTACATCCTCATCCCAATGACCATACCTCTCGTCGACTTTCTCTGGCCTCAGTTGACCACCAAATACACGCCCACGCCGATATTTATACCCGACGGAGGAAGCAAAGCGTGGAGCACAAATCTGGGAGATTGCTCTTTGGGATGGACGTGAGAGGGTTCAAGACAAGTTTACAAGATGATGCAGAAGGGGGATACGTTTTCGACGGGCGTGAAATTTCGAATTTTGGCAAGAGTTTTACGAATTGGGCTTTGTGCGCGCCAAGACTTCGCTTGCGAGAGTGAAGCTGACACTATAAAAATAAGTCGACGATGGAAGGTGCCGTGGCCTGCCTCCTGGTGATGTTCTCTGGTATAGTTTGAGTAGCCTGGGCACCTACTCCACTTGGGAAGGAGACATCTCAGATTACATTTCGCGCGGAGAAAAGTTGATGGATGACGGAGGCATGTCTGGATAACTCAGGGTTTTTGAGACGTTCCCCTGGGTGGGTATTCACGGATGAGGGTTGACTTGGGGTGAAGGAAAAGCCACCATAGCTTCGCAGTGGTACTCGTAAATAAAATATGAGGCATGAGTGCTCTTCCTTTGCGTTGAATCATCTGTGCTGTACTTTTCTTTGATATTGTTTTGTTTTGTTTATTTTGTCCTAAGCTAAAGCAATGTTTTCCACATTGGGTCAAGGACAGGCGGAGCCGGCAGGGTTCCCTGTAATATTTCTTACAGCCTAACTCGTTCCAACCTCGTGAATCGCTACCAAAAGTGCAGCTAATTAAACTGAAACGAAAAATCAAGAAGATCAAAACAACTCCGAAAAAACAAAAGATTCCTCCATAATGGACCCAGTCAATGTGATCCTCACACATTCCTTTGTCCGTCACACCTTCCAAATGACAAATTTACTTAATCTCCGCTGAGAGCGGTAGATGAGTTAGCAGGCACTTTTGATCCAGCCGATATCCTACTAATTGTTAGTAGATGCCCTAGAAGGGGACATCGTCGAGGTCGCTGTTCCATCAAGCTTCTTCTTCAGATCCCAGCGCTCCGAAATTTGTTGCCTCGGCCATTGCGGTATCCTTCGTCGCGGCGACATTCGCCTCTTCGGCCTTTTTGGCTGCGGCCCTAGCTTGATCCGCCTCCGGGAACTTCCCTTGCTCGAGGTGGCGTATCCACGCGAGCTGCTCTTTTGTCACCGGTCCAGACTTTCTTGGTCTGACTTGGCAGTCCCGAGAATCCGATCGGTGGGGTCCCCCACAGTTACGACACTTTGTGGGGGCCCTGCACTCGGCTTCCGAGTGCATAGTTGATGCACAGTTCCAGCAGGCTGAAGCGCGGGAGCAACCACGAGTGGCGTGGAAGCCCAAACAGCGTTTACACCATTCAATTTGGCGACGAGGCTTGTGAATGATAGCCGTACCAGACTCGTCGAAGAGGCGGAAGCCCGCACGAGGGGCGACTTCCCGGTCGAAAAGGGCATGCCAGTTTCGGTGCGGTGCCCCAGGTCGACACGTCCCATGAGGTCGGACGTGTGTTGGTCTCGCGCCGGTCATAAAGGCGATCTTGTCGAAGACCCACTCAGAATTGACTGCTATGGGGCCTCGCTCTGTGATTATACTTACAGGTACGTTGGGTATCTGTAAGGCTACAAGATCTGAAGATGCCTCGAGTTTGGCGTTTTCACTCGCCAGCTTCGAAGAGCCATCTGGCATCTCTTGTCGTGTTTTTTTGTCCTTTGCTAGCATAGCAAAGCCAGACCTCACTCGATGAAGTGAGGTTATTTTGTCGTGAAAGAAAAGGAATCTCATCTCCAATTTGCTTCTCACGCAACCTGTGGACAGTTTTCGCCACGGGTGGTCCTTTTCAAGGCGAAGGAACAGTCGCTTATCGACTTTCGCCTTGGGGGTTTCTTTTTGGTGGGCTTTGGCCGCAGGTCGCGGCATAGCCTTGGCAGTAGGGACTGCTTTTTGTCGCAGTCCGTGTCTGGCCACCGTGGCCCAGGTGCTTTTGACGGGCAGAGCTGGGACGGCGGGTATTGTTTGGCTCCTGGCGTCGGGAGCCCTTGGGAGGGGGTTCGTCGGGTGAGGAGGAAGAACGGGTGGCGTAGTGGCCATGTATTGCGCAATGGCGGCGCGTAGGTAGACTCTCATGAAGTCTACGAATTGTCTATTTGACCCGTTGGTCAAAGGGAGGAGGGTGGCTTCGACGCCAGAGATGGCGGCAGAGCAGAGAGCCAGATTTGCCGCTATTTCGGCGGCGCGTCGTTGTTCAGCTTCGATAAATGGTCGGAGCTCGAGGTGACAATCTGCTTTCGTGGCTGCCTTTGGCTGCGACGTTGATGTTGACGCTGCTATGGGTGCAGCGTTTTCCGACGGTTTTGAGGTGGTCGGAGGAGGTTTGGACGATTCTCCAGTCCCGTGGGGGACGGAGGGTGGTTGAGGAATTTCCTCAACAATTTCGACTGACCCGATCATGTCAGTATCGGGTTCAGTGACGGCGGGGAGGGCTTTTTCCTTCCCTTTGATTGAGACCTTGCTCATCTTCGCGCATTTCGGAGACTGGGCAAGGTCAGGTACTTAATCGAGAGCCCTCGGGTGGACTCTCGTGTTGTCCAACTTGGCGTTGGGACGCTTTTTTCGAACAGATGGCATGGTGAAAATGCCAGTGATTATATCACAATTATTTGATAGAATGCAACGAGCGCGAGAGGGAGGGTGACGGGGGAAAAGGTGAAGATTCGAAAATTCGAATTTCAAAAAATTGTCTTTGATATTGTGTCATAACTAGATAGCTGCATACGCAATTAAAATCTGATGCAAAAAAAAAACATTTTTTGTGTACGAGACATCACTTGCAATGAGGTGTCATTCTGGTTACCCTCTCGCCCTAGTTGACTACCCTTGACTTAAGGGGCAAGAGCACTTGCAACTCGACTGCGGCGCTTCAGCCAGCCCCATCACACCTCAGCACGGCTAAATCACACTGCCAAATACAGTTAGCTCGGTCCACAGGTAGTTTGGTGAACATTCACCTTAATACAGGGCCTCTCCTTGTCAAGCTGTTAGGGCGGTTGGATTCCGCGGAAGGCGTGGGAGCCGGTCGGCCGCGTGCCAGCAGAGACAATCAAGGAGGGCCGCACGAGCTCCATTGAAGTCTTCGTTGCGCTACAGCCATCACTCCGGTAGGCCCAGCTAGCGCGCTTAAAGACGCTGGATATTCCTTGCACAAAAGGGTAGGCCCCATGCTATGGCGAAGCATAAATCTCGTGAATCCGACTCACCTGCTGTCCAGACGATGCCATCAGAGTTAATCACTCGGCAATATTTCCTCGCGGATGCCGTGCCATGTCTAAAAAGATGTTGTGTAGGTCCCACAGCATTTAGGATATCAAATCTCCTCGCATATCTCGCCCGTGGTTCTATCCCCACTGCATGCAAACTTCGCTGCTCAAGCGATGTACCAGGGAACTGCAGAGCCTATCCTGTAGCAGGTGAAGAGAGTTTACGGGTATCAACAACTCTGCAGAAACAACTTGATTCTTTTTCGAGCATGGGTCCCCAAAAGTTATCTCTTCTCTAGATGGACCGTGCGTTCAACTAGTTAATTTATAGTGCTCTATTATTGGACCCAAATAACTAAATGTGATCCGTACACCCAATAAACCTTAGGTACTTCCTAATGTCTAATACGATGTGTGAAGGGTGGCGTGCACCTCGGTGAGATTAGAGAGGCTCGATGAGGCGTTGGTGGGTCCGGGTAAATTCTCAACGTACTATCTGCTTGGCCTCGACAATATCTGAAAAGTCCAGCACGCATGGCAGAAGAAGGGTAAGGACGTGACCTTGCCGCCGTGCCTCGCCTCTTACAAGACTAGCGCGCATCGAACTTAGACTTTTAACCGGCCCGGAAGACTACAAACGGTCTAGCATAGCTTGCAAATAATCCCCAAGCTAGGCCATTGTGCCGTCGACCACGATGAGGCCCGAGGGCAGTGATTGCCCCGCTGTATACTTGAGCACAGATTACGGAGGCATTATACCTCAGAAATGGGATGGGTAAGCCCGCTCATCTCTAGCTCACTTCCCAGCTGCGAGCTCCGAGAATCTTGATTGCACTGCCCATCAAAGTCACTTGGAGTAAATGATGAAGCAATATAGAGCTTTCGTCGACAGCCATATCTCCTATTTTGTCAGTCTTGTCCCGCATGCAACTGCATATTTAATTTAGCAGAAACCTGACTACATCCACACATTTCCATAGCATGATCACATCTAGCTATCTAAAACAGAAAAATATCAAGTAGGCAATAGATAAGGCCTGAAGGTCTAGAATCAGGACATGAAGATATATAAAATATAAATTTGTAGATTGAAAGAAACGATAGATATCCATTGTAGATATAGCCCTTGAATAAGATATCGTACATGATTGTTTCAAACTCTTTCTCCGTCTCTTGAGAGCCTTCTTGCTACTAACTGTTTAGCTGAGCTCAGATCCGCAAATAGCTCCACATCACCACATGACAAGTGCTATGATACCAAGAGCTACAAAGCTCAAACTCCACGTCACCCTTGAAACTGCAGCCGTAGCCTCCACGCTTGTAGATGGTTTAGGCTTCTTATGTGCCCTCGTTTCCGTACCGATCTGAATATTGCCACTTTCTTTAGGGGTGACAAGCGTTCCGATAGAAACCACCGTTGTATGTTCGACCGGTATCATAGCCGTGGGAATCAGATCAGTCTCCAATGAAGTAGCGTGTGTGGAGAAGCTTGTGTAGGTTGCATCATATGTTGTTGTACTAGCCTGATGAGATTTTCGGGGCTCTTGACTCGGTATAATATTGCTAGGCCTAGTCAGAGAGGAAGATATGGGCACCACAACCGCGGATGTTAACGTGACAGAACATTTTTTATCTGACGCCGTACATGATGTGATGGTTGAAATCTTGGTGACATTGACTGTAGTACTGAAGATAGGGGCATATGAAGTAGTAACTGGCAAATTGGTGCTCATTATAGGCAGCATCGTTGTCTTGGATGTTGTAGCCATGGAAGATGATGGGACACTAAAGTTTTGATGTGGAATGACTGTTGAAGAGATTGGTATAATAGTCGAGGAGACATGACCATATCGGCAAGTACCTGATGCATTACACGTTGTTAAAGTGAAAATTCTGGTGGTGTAGACTGTAGATGTGATATTCTTTGTAACGATAGCGAGGGGTGGCAAAGCCGGAGAGCTTCCAGCAATAGCTAAGCCAACAAGCGTCGCAGTAACTGAGAGAGGAAAAATCTGCATAATGTCTGGCAGTGAACGATAACAAGAGAATTGGGTGATCGAAATGAATGGGTAAGAAAAAACTCTTATATGAACATATTTTAACTGCATGGTGCATTTTCAAGTGGGGAGTTATTCGTTGAGATAGTCTCAGGACATTTTCTCAACATGAATATCTTTTTACTCCTCTCTAAGATCTATAGTAAACTTACATTCAAGCTAAAAATCTGTATCGAATAAGAAGGCTAGAGAAAACGAGATTATGGATTTCTTCACTCAATAGTATGAACTTTCCCACAAGTTTAGAAGTAAGCAGGGAGCCCCTAATATCGATCAGGCATATTGAGTGGAGCAATCTAGTGATTAGATGAATTCAACAACCTTCTTTGTGGAGCTTTTGCTTGGACAAGCCGAGTTGTTGAGCCCTATTTGCGTTCAATTATTCAGCTCGTTCGTTCTGAGCGAAACTAATTTTGGTCATCTCTATGCTATTTGAGTGGGTCCTTGTGCCATGAATCAAAATTATTCAATTTCTATCATATCTTGAAGTCAGAGACAATCTTCATATACATAACATTGTAAAACACCCACGGCAGTTTATAAGGATACCGGACTCGTGATATTCGCCACTGGAGCCTTCTTACTTTTCTCATTTCATTGTTATTTAAATTTGCTAAAAATCCATCAATGCACACTTTTTCTATAAGATATGTGCTTTGTTGCGTGAGATCCGTCAGTTGTCGGAACCACAGGCAAGTGATCTTCGACGCTTTGTCCCAGTATAGTTTTTATCTACATTAATCCTTGTCTATTAGGTGGTTTGAGTGATATTCTTCTAGACTGAAGCTATTGTTGGGCTACTCAGTTAGGTCAAGTCTGACAGGAGCGGTTGAGAGGACTGTGATGCACTTTTTTTCCCGAAATTCCCGTGGTGATCTAGCTTTGATCAGTCTACTATCATTTAATCCTTTCTGTATATTTATAGACTCCGCTTGGATTATTAAAACTGAGGTATTTGTCAATTAGTTATTTCCTTCATGGGCTTGATTTCTCCAACTTAGGGACTTATAGTGAGAGATATTTTCAACGCCGAAAGACTTTTGCCCAACATGTTTTGATCCTAACTAGTTAGTGAGAAAGGTTAGTAAATACCAGCTAGACTTCTACATCAAATTGTTAATTGGTCCCGAAATTTGCAGCATTTTGTTATTAAATCCAAAATTATCCTCAAATTCGAGAGGTCCAGTCAGGGTCTTCAATGATGATAAAAGTTTTCTAGATATGCAAGTTTGAATGGTTATTGTTCAATTATAAGAGCGTCGGTCAAACATAATCATCCCTGCGCCTTAACATAACGGAGTTGTCGTTGTGATGATTGTTTACTTATGAGTAAAAAGGGTAAGACGTTTGGAGACTTTATATACCCTGTATTAAATAAATAAATAATTATGTTGTCCTGCTGAGGCGCCATGAGGCCCATGCAGGTTTTATCGGAAGATATGTACTTTGATTGGGATGACTAAATTTAACGTTTATAACATTCACACTCAGATTTCATTTGTAGATACCATTCGAGGTTGACCCTTATGGCGTATAACCTCTTCCGTGCATGCCCACCATAGGGAAAAGCGTGAGAAACCTATGGCTATCCGAGTGTGCTTTCATCATTCCACAAGTACAAAATCAATGCGGGAGAATGTGGTGTGTGAGTCTTGCTGGATTTGAACCAGCTTTCTCCTGTCTCGCATGGGGTAGGTGTTCAAGCTACCCAGCATCTACTTGGGAGAATGGCCCGATTGGTGTACCACTACACCATCCAACCCCATATTCGCCCGAAGATAAGTCTAGTAGTGGTCCGATAGTACGAGCTAGGCTGCAGCATTCTTAGAGAATGCTGTGACTGTAGAAAACTACCTACGTTTGTTCAAACCTATTCTTTATCCCATTTACTTCCAGCTACACTGTTCAATCCGTCTAAAGGAATCATAATCCAATAGTTATATAAAATTCGTTGACTCTGCAATTTTATAACCGACTTGGCAAATGTTTTGTTAAAACTAGAATTTATTCACGTCGAACTAATGGAGTTGAACCAATGCATACTAAGCAAGAAGCAGTCTTTTTAAGTCGATTTTTTTTAAATAAATAAAAAAATCAGTTGTAATAATACCAAAGGGCAGTAGTAAAATAAAGCTTCCCAGAAGAGGAAGGGAAGATATTAGAGCACACAATAGAAGGGCAGACCTTACATACTGTAAAGAGATTTGCGGAGAGGAGAAATTCAAGGACTTACAAAAAGAAGCGGCAATGGTTGTAGCGTACCTGTAATGGGCGAAATCTTGGTCCGCCAAAAAGCGAACTCGACAGCCTAAAAGATTTGCTTCAGCAGATCCTAGAACTTGGGCAGCAGCAAAGTTCTACCAATGCCGCCATTCTGGACGTACGAAAACAAGCTTCCGGGAGTCATCATTTTCTCTCCACAAAAGCCTGACGAGGGCCTAAAGTAGCTTAGCAATCCAAATTAGAAGCGAGCATATCGGGCTCAATTCTATTTACACAGAAGAAAAGTACCAGGAGTTTATCACCCAAGTTGTCCGTGTGGCTACCAATCACAAAATCCCAAGCACATGATCATGTCCTGCCCCAAGTGGTCAATCGGTAGAGGAGAAATCCGGAGACAAGCCCGAAATCGCTTCTTTAAAGCAATGACTAACAATCCTAGCGATATGAAAAGAATCACACGATGGATTCTTAATCATGGTTGGATAGAACAATTCCGCATGAAAAATGCAGTCGAAATGCTGCTAATGGAACGAGACGGAACATGTAGAAGGTTGGGGTCGATAGAAGGGACGTGATTGGTACACATCGACGGCGTTACAGTGTAACTGTACTTCCTGAAGGATAAATTGCAAACTTTAAGAATTAAACCAGAAAGCATGGGCGTTTTTCACCGAGAGGTTTCCTCCTATGTAAATATATAGATAGGTTTATAGCCACCTGTATGGGCCCATAGGGCGCCAGATCAGGATAATAAATACAAATCAAAAACCATAGGGCAGATTAGTTTTGCCAGAAAGCTGCGCAGCGTTCTACACTGCCACTATCATTAATTTGACACCGATAATTTTATGTTTTATCTTCTTTACCCTCCTAGCATCATTTCGCTTTCCGTGCTACAACATGGCGAGTGTGGGTGCTGATGTAGGTAAGTCCAGCGGTTTCGATGCGTCGCAAAAAGCAGTAATGGCCACCACAAATAAGGTCAACGGAGCACAGATAGCTTCAAGGAATAAGAACATTGAAACCCCAGGTAAATTACTAAATAAGGTCAAACTGATCGTGATGAGCGAGATGGATGAGGAGGACTCATATTCAATTAAGGATGTGAACGAGTCCGTGAAGGTATTCATCGCGCACAGAAGGGCCTGGAAGGAGATTTCCTAGAAGAAGTCTCCAATCGAGAAGAGGACGATGACACTAGAAGATGTTGTCAAGAAGAGCCTCGCGGATCTCGTTCATAATACTGCATCAGGAGTGGCAGCGGTGATGCCGTAATTAAAGACCTATGCGTCGGTCGTAGCTCCGCAAATGACTAAAACAGCGGTACGTCTCAGAATCAACGGAGCGGATAAATTGCAGCCTGAAGAACTGCTATCAAAGGCGAAAGAGCACATCGATGGCGCAAATGCAATTCGTCAGATGCGCATTAACGACACTGAGGTGTTCGTCCAGTTGGCGTCCCAGAACGACGCAGCACTTAACATGCGTCAACCTACCGAATTTAAGGTTTTACGGCAAGACTTTCGGGTAGAGGTTTTCAGAGTCCCACTTGTTGTAATGGAAGTTGTATAGAGAAGCGTAAGCTGTTAGGCTTGTATTTGATATCACCTAGTGAAGCGAGTTGGGAGATTGAAGAGTCTGAAAACTGTAGTGGAGAGTTGTTGATTAAACCCACTTAGTATCAGAGCGCTATTTAAACTAATTACTACATCTAAGTGAAGGACACAATTCACTTGTTTATGCTAGATAATTGGGAGGCTGGTCAATATATGAGTCGTCATGAATGTGGCTAGTAATAATAGAACCTTATTACGTTCCGTATTAATGCGACTCTTCATTGCCAAGTAGTGCCAATTTCAACACCACTGCATACGAGAATTGAAGATGGCAGAGATGTCAATAACTACTCCGTCATCAAAGAGATTAAGACTGCGACTAAGACTCGGATTCCAGACCTCGTGATAAATTAACTTAGGTGGCTATATGACGGAATGGAACACGTGCAGTCAAAGAAAAATAGCCACAGCCTAGGATCAATCGTGGTTAGCCTCCTATCGGATGCAATTTAAACAGAAGTAGTTCGCCATGGCCTCGTCATTAATGCAATGCTGTTCACCGCGCAAGTGTTGTCACCAAGGGCTCAGCCAAAGCAGTGTTTCAACTGCAGCCAGTAGGGATGCAGGCAGGCGTCGTGTGGAAAGGCAGCCAGGTGTGGTGAGTGCGTTGGTGCTCAGAAAACTCGAGACTATTCGATGGAAAGAATTTCTTCTGCGAACTGCGGCAAGGAGCATCATTCATGGCATAAAGCAGCGTGTCGGACTTGCCAATTCTACTATGGAAGTGTGGAAAAGGCTCGTATGAAGCTTCTATCGAGGATGGCGGAAATCTGGAATGAGAACCTCCCAGCGGAACCCAAACAAACAGTTCGGACGACAGATGATTAGGGATACACTTTGGTCACCAGTAAGAAGATTGAAGGACTCAGAAGAGAGTCGGGATAACCGTGACAGGTATTCAAAGCCCTTGCGGCACCAACTATCACCACGAAAGTCGCACCACTATCGGGCCGGCTCTTCGAACACGTCGTCGATCAACGGCGGGCGAGGAGGTGCCTTCTCTTTTCAATTTCTTCTAGCAACAGTCTGACCGAAGAGAGATTTGATGAAGTTCATGGAAAGTTTATAAAATTATGGTTGAAAGGAACGTTCTCAGCATTAAGCCGGGTCGGTTAGAAGTGG